GTGTTTGTGGGATGGACATGCCCATGCCTAGTCAAGCCAGGGCAAGAGCTGTGTTTCAAGATTAGAGAACTGACTGGAACTACGCTCCAGCCCATCCACATGGCCCAGAAAGTGGATGAGCTTTGTGGAAATGACTTCATCCATGCAAGGCATTGTGTCTCAAGCGGCTCTCACATTATGCCCAATTAAGTTGTTAGTACTCCAAGCCAGAGATGCAGATTCCTGCTGTGGTCACAATTAACATGAAACCTGCAGAGTGTGACTGCGTACGAGTGGGTGGGACCAACATAAGATGGTAGACAGCAATGCTCCTCAGAAACATATTGGAGATGTTGTACTAGCTTGCCTTCTGGAAATTGTGCAGAACAATAAAGTAATTCCATTGCGACATGTAAACTATGGTGGCTTCCAGCTGGTGGAGACAATATTTCTGTGGTACAATGAGAAGGAAATAGAGCTAGAAGCCTGTCATCTGTTTGGGAGTGAGAAAAAGTGCAGCTGACTCGTTGTACAGCAGATGTGCACACTCTACCAGATCACACTCGCAGATGCGTATACTCTAGCAGTTCAAACTTATTGCTCTATGGGGAATGACACTGATCGAATTTTTTGCCTCAGCCAGAAGTTTCACACTCAAGCAGTATTTGTCACGCCGATTCTTTCTAATATGGTAGGAAACGCTCATTCCACCATAGGCGAATGTGGACGTTTATGCGTTTCCACAATTCCCGTTGTACTGGAATGAGTACTGTCGCGCTATTCGTTACTCCTAATCCAAAACCACATGAGACTTTCTCCGATAATTGACATCTAAGAGAGCATTTTTGGTATTTTCTACTAAAATCAGCAATGCGCAGCCATTTTACATTTGTTCCCATGTCGTAGATGGAGCAAGATTGCTGCCCTACTGTTTTTCAAAGGCAGGATTTGATGCGACTCCCATCATTATCCCCCCAGTTTCGTGGTAGAGAGGACCATGAGTAATTACTGCTTTGTGCAGTCAGAGCCCTGGTTGTGTGCAAATAGAAGAGGCACTAAACAGATGTTTATCTGTTTGTGGCCAACGCTCATGACTGTCATTATTATTCCCCAGCTTACCCTAGTTACTCTCAGTTGAAGTGTTAGAAATCTGTTTCTAATTTTTATTACATTACTGTAACTGGGAAAGTCAACAAGTCTAGGTCAACAAGTGAATTTCATTTCTTTCATGGCTTTTCGGGGTTAGCAAGTTTAGTTAAATATGGGGGGTTGCGCCCATTCCCATATTTACTTTGGGGTTTCAGAACAGCCACTTTAAAATGTACATAGTGAGGTCTTATTTTTAGTACCCCACCTGTCTCCAATCAGTACAATCTCCCGTAAATTCATCAGTGGTGAATACATAGAACTTAGTGGGTGCTGGGCCCCTCAGGTGATGTATAATTTAAACTGATAGGCATTACCAACCAATAGAAGAAAGCCCCCCTCCAGGGTAATGAATTTTGGATTATGAGTTCCACACACTGACCTCTTTCAACAAGGACAGCCAAGAAATAGCCAAGAAGTGTCGACCTAAATAAGTTTATTGCTGATACCTGTACACCATTCAAATTGTAAAATAGACTACCCCTATTAGCCAATATTGAAGACAATTGTTTTGAACAATTTTGTCGATTTCTGCATACCAATAATTTACATGGCTTTGTGTGCTCCCTAGGACGATACTAAGTTGGAAATCAACGCCCAAAGAGCCGTGGTGTTGTAATTGTTGCCAATAAGCTTGTTGAAAGAACGACTACTACAAGATATCTGTGCCAAGTATAAGAAAAGGTTTAACTCTACATTAGATTTATTTTCAACTCGCTTGGTAAATGACATAACCGTACGTTCTTCAAGGGGACACATGCACCGACCCATTAACTTGTTGATTAAAGCCATGTTAGGTGTTGTATCAAATATGTTCACACTAACTGTGATCTAAACCATACAAATGCTGCTAATGTTTTTAGGAACCATCATGTTTATCTAAGTAACATTCACTCTTTAAAACAATAACATCTTTTGTAAAGAACAAACAATGGTAGTGGTGCTCTTCTTGTTCCATGGCTGTCATGAATTCTTTCACTTTAGAATTCTGTTGTTATACAGCAAATGACAAGATTTAAATTCACATACCATACTATATACTGCAGCTAAAACACCAGCCAATTTACAATAATCATGTTACAAATTAGATAAATCATGATTACATGATGTTAACAGCATACGCCCACTCGCTTCAACTCTATATATTTGGCGCGAAGGTATTTAAAAAAAACAGTTTTTTGGCTGTTGTCATGGAAATGATGGGCCAAAATTTCAGATTTTCAGATTCTACAATCTAACTAGAGTGAAGGTGCGACTTGCCTGCCAAGTTTGAACCAAATCGGCCCAGCCACAAAATCACAGAAGAGTTAAAAAGCCATTCCTGGTGAACAGTTACCCCAACTTTGGGGTAAAATTTCTCGGTAATGAAAAAAAGATCAAATAGTAACTATGTGCCCACACTCAAGGTGAGTAAAATGGACTATGGCTGAGGTGTTGTATCCTATCCTATGGCAACGGTGGACCAAAATGTTTTTCCAGATTTTTCCTAATAACTAAGGTGATGGTGTGACCTACCTGCCAAGTTTGAGCGAAATCGCCCAAGCCAAAAAAATCACAGAAGAATTAATACGTGAAAACACTGGAAATCACACACAGACACACAACTGATTTTAAGGGCAATCCTAGCGGAGCGGATCGCCAACAAAAGTGATTATAAGGGCAATCCTAGCGGAGCGGATCGCCAACAAAAGTGATTATAAGGGCAATCTTAGCGGAGCGGATCGCCAACAAAAGTGATTATAAGGGCAATCCTAGAGGAGCGGATCGCCAACAAACACATAAAATTGATTTTAAGGGCTATCCTAGTGGAGCGGATCGCCAATAAAACGTAGCTTTAAGTTTGTACATATAAGTTTGCAGTTGCGGCACACCATTTAAAACTCATTGCTAAAAAGGTGATTGCAATACACGTACCAACATCAAAATGTAAAGTATGACTTATGGTGCACTCATATTGATTATATACATGGTTCAAAATGTCAATACTTTGGCATGGGTCAGATCTATACATATTTTGAATATTTGAATCAGATGTAGCACAAATAATTGATGTACCTGCATATACATGCTACGGGTAAATAAATCAGAAACTACCAACCTTTGAAGAGAAAGATAGGATAACTTGATGGCACATAGATACCGTGAACACAGATACCACAGTGGCGGCGGCACCGGGGGAGGGCAGGGGGCGCCCCTGAAAAAATGTTGGGAAGGGGACGTCCTCCCCTAATCAAGCTGAAACACTCCTCAAAATGCAGGATTTTTTTCCGCGGAATATACATAACACTGTTTTATTGTTTATATACTTGTATATGTTATAATATTACAAAACCGTTTTTGTCTAACCGAGCACCCATGCTCGGCTAAGCGCAACTCCTACTATTCTTGGAGTTAAGTTCGGCTTAGCAACCACCCTCTCCAAAATGCCCAAACGTAACTCTCAAACTATATAACATGGTTATTGGACATCGTTTCACTTTTTCGAATAATCAAAATACAGCATCCATTGTAGCTATTCCGCAACGAACCGCTGCGAAAGATGCTAAATATTTCTTCACACTCCATTCGCCTTAAGTTTCAAAAATTGATATTCACCATTAAAAACAAATCAAGGCGTTCCTGTTCGCCAAAATTAATGCCAACAGATGGGACTTCAACATTGGTAGTTTGTCGAACACCAGTTTGCTAGTTACTTAGCAAATTATGTGCACATATTTTCAATTTAGAGAACGACTTTTTGTTGTGTTGTATGTAAGCCCCATTCCCCCAACCTCGACCGTTAATGATATTATTTTTAATAATTTTTGTAAAAGTTAGGGTATTAGTGATGTTAATGGCCGCACAGCAAATGACGCTGATTAATGGAAATATGACGATTTTCAACTGAGGATTCTGACCCTGATTAAAAAAAATATTTGGACTATGTTGACAAACGTGATAGTCAACTTCTTTCTCTCTGCAAAACAGCCGGTTTACAAATTCTTAACGTACTAACTAATGGATATTTTAGTCGTTGTGCTTGTTATAGTAACTGATGTACTAGCTTATACGGATATTTTAAATCACACTGAATTTCGTTCATGTACCCGATCCTTTCAGTACATTATACTGGATTTATAAGACACTCTATATTGAGAACAATTTATCTGCATGTATAACTATATTCGTATGGTCAGCAGATGATGACGGAAGATAAACTTGTACATTACAAAGCAAACTAATAGTATTACTAACTAATTGATGACGTTCAGTCAGTGAACTGTCACTCTGATGTAGTTGATTGTATAATAGATTTCATCAATGATACTGCACATGTAGCAGGTATCAAATATTCAAATTCTCATAGTAATTATTTTAGAGAAAAAGAAGTTCCCCTATTAAAAAGACATTTATTGGTTTGATAATGATCGCGAAATTCATTTACCACAAAGTGTCTTGTCAAATAAATAAAAACATATAAATTCATGTTGCGTTGTGGCACGTGACCATTTAATACAAAGATTGTTATTCCTAAGTATTCGATTTACCTGATACACATGCGCATTTTAGTCTATATAACGCTAGGAAGTAACCATTACGGGTATAACGGACAGCATATTATACACAACCATACTTCCGAACGTGTGCGTGCAGCGACGCAAGGGCAATGTAAAGGGGGTGGTGTCTAGTCAAATCCAAGTTCACAGTTACCTGGTAACGATGTATGCTTGTAAAAATGTCATCTTTTTTTATATTTGAGTTGTTTACTTGATTGCCATCCATATAATTCTTTACTTATCTGTCAGTTGTAAACCTTGTTTTATCTTGTCTTGTGACAAACGAATTGCATTACCGAGGTCATCATTATCTACACGTGACGTGATACGGGAACCAAGATGGGAAAGACGTATTTCACTAAACAGACTCGAAATATCCTCCTGGTGGTAATAGGAGTTGTCATATCAGTAATACTAGTTGCCGTAGTGATAGCCGTGTCACTTTCTTCCAGTTCGGATGAAGAAAGCAAAATTGAAGATACGTTGGAATATGCCAAGGAGATTATGAGAAGAGTTCCGCTTGTTGATGGGTAAGTTGGCAATTTCAACGAAATGAAGGTCAGGGTGGAGGAACAGTACAGTTGGGAGTTTGTTTGTTTGTTTGTTTGACCATAATTAATCAGGATTTTTTATTCATTTCATTTTCCATAAAGCCGAAGGTAAGTTTCAGACATGTCACTGTAGTCCGCTACTCGTTGTGACACAGATGTTGTAATATCTTTTACGACATCGTGCACTGATGACAGAAACACATGGGACCGACAGTTATTACGTCATATCCGACTAGACGCCTTATTTGATTTGGTTGAATATTTAGACGTGCAGATTTTTTCCTGCTAATGATCCCTGCAGGATTTTTCCCAAGATGCATGCCGGCCGGCCCCGTTAAAATTTCAATTCTGCCATGGCCCCTAGATGTTGTAGTGGTCAACGGCTAATTGAGTTAAATAGACGGATTTTTTACGGATTATCCAAATTTTCAAGAGGAATTCTTTGATGACCTGCTCCTAGATCCACTACTATTTCGATGAACCCTTTCACATCAACAAATATATATAGAATGTAGCTCAGTTATGAGTCATTTAATATAATGTGCAAACACTTCGAGAGTCTGCAATGAGTTTTGTATAGTATAGTATGATATGGAAAGTTTTGCGGCTCTATATAAACGTATGTGTATCGAGCGTCAGCCGCTTTCTGGTAGATGTAGCATTAGAAGTACTCGTACTTCATTCTTATGCTGGGTTATAGGTATAATGGCGGATTTTATAACACCTCCGAATTGAATCGCTGACAAATACTGGTTGTTTATCTCTATTATTTGTCGTTGCTATCCAAAATTCATCATGATGAATTGATAAAAGAATGGACATAGTTATTTTTTTATTACCGAGAGTTGGTGATAATAGCGTTTATGGCACATAGACACACTTGTTGTCGGGTTACGAAGTTTGATGCGCGCGGTCAGGTTGGTAATAAAATATGTTATCTTCAGATAGTACTGTTTTACTATTACGATGTCGGTATGTTGTTTGCGATGCTATTGGTATGATGACAAGGGTCAGTCAACGATAGTTCATCATCACACACTCATCCTGATAACACAAAGAAGCCGTTTTACGATTGTAATGTCTTATAACTATTTATCAATGACAGATTTACAAGGGGTGCAAGGCGCCCATAACATTGTCCTATCCACAGATAAACACACAATTTGTGTATACCCGTTCTATTCAGCTCTGTTACATTATGCAGTAAGCGGGGAAATTTGCTTTGTTTTCTTTTCATCAACAACAATTTGTTACCCAAAATCCAGTAGCGAATTCAGAAGGACAACCCCCTAAAACATCGTTACTCATACACGTACATCCCATAATGCACTGTGACAATGACGTCATTGTAAGTGCGCGTTACGTCATGCATCAATTACACATAGATATTTGGTTAACATGAAATTGACAAAATCGTCTTTTTCTCTAAATTGCGAATAATTAAATAATAATAATATAACATTTAACAAACAGTGATGTAGTGGTGTGTCGTTTGCCATACGTCAAATAGATGGACCGGAACTCCCTAAACGTATAGTTATCTACATACGTTCAAGTAATTACCATACTTTATATATTTATTTTCTACTTACATTTATATCACCTTGAATTTAGACATAACGATTTACCACTTCAAATTCGATCTCATTGGAGGAACCAGTTTACCGACTTCAGCTTGTATGATGACCTTCCCACACATACCGATATACCTAGACTTTTGGAAGGATTGGTAGGTGGACAGGTAAGACACCTCACTTCAAACTTTCTGACAATGTTTTATATATCTATAATAACACCACACATTGTACTGGATATAAGTTGGTAGATTATTTGCAGTTAATCGCATTTGATAAGCGATTGGAATTCTACAGTTGTATTTACTATTCCTCATTAATTCGACTGAACCCTTAGTAGGTTTCTGATTTACGCATACTCGGTCCGGCTACGCCATCTAATTTAGGCTCGTCCTAAGTTGGTTCATGACACGTAAGGTCAACGTCTTGTGCATACAAATGATCCAAACAAATTCAGCTTTTCCGAGGAGTACTCGTTGATTTAAATTAACCATGCAGTGGTTAGATAAATGCACATTCGAAGAACGATGTAAGGCACTATTGCGAGAGGAAAAAATATTTGGCGTACTGGGACAGTAGCACAATATGGTTCAGTTTTTTTTTCAAACCAGGCTCGGTTTTATAGCTAGTTGACTTATTACTGTATAACGTTCAATGTTGTTAATATCAAAATGAATATTGTAATTGTTGCGCATGCGTTCTTAGTTATCAGTGTTTTGTGTAACACAATATGTTCGAGAACATGCACGTTTTATACTTGATTTGATGAATGCATAATATTCGCATTTATCAATAAAAATGTTGCATTGCACACAAAATAGTATCCATTTTATAAAGAATCAAAAACTTTAACGTACATGCGTGCCGATGTCAAACCTATCGGCGTAATCCATAATGCATTTTTAAAACAATTACTCACTCACAAACAATAATAGTACTTCATTATATCAATTTTCTATATTGTAAAATGTCAGAATTAATTTTTGTCGGGCCGATTGCGAATATATTGTTTATTTGGAAGTAACAACATTACAAACGATATCTCAAAATGAAATTTTCATCAGTGAAATCAGTAATGGAAAGAGAAAGAGCATGCGCACATCCTGCTTCACATGTGACACCCGCCATATATCATTCTGAGTTATAATTAAATAGTTTCTGCTAGAAACGCAATGACTGCACCAGACAAGTTACATCAGAGGCGGCAGCACGATATTTTTTATGGGGGTGCGGGGGCATGCTCCCCCTTAACAATTTTGAAATCTAGACCCACTGAAACGTTATTTCCTGCATTTTGAGGGACAAATTTTGCATACACAAAGGGGTTTAGCTTGATTTTGGAGGGGCGACGACCTCCCAACATTTTGTTTCGAGGGGCGACAGCCCCCTTTGCCCCCTGTGCTTGTGTGTCATTTAACATCATCTGTGTAGCAGTGCTATCGTATTTCAACAACATTTACATCTAGTTTAATAGCTTGAAGGAAATAAGACAACTTCTTTCTAAAAATCTGAAATATATGTTATCATCGTTCATATTTCTGTAGTTCTGGTCGGCATATGTTCCATGTGGTGCCCAGTATAATGACGCTGTACGACAAACACAAGATCAAATTGACGTCA